AAAAAAGTCTGTAAACATTGTACTTGCAGTAAGACATTTTTACGTTGGAGTTCTCGGTCTGTTTGATATGAAAGTTTTGACATCGGTTTGCATGAAAGTTACTTTCTGAGTTAGGATGTGAGAAACCGCACTTAGGAAGTCTTGAAGATGCATCTTAGAAAACATTCTGGTTTAATTTACCCAAGTTATGCTCGTCTCTGCAGAAAATGCCTTAGGTGAGCAGCTTGTATTCTTGGCATCTTGGATGCAAGACAAATGCAATAAGCATGTAGGCAAGACACAACCATTTGCTTTTGCCAAGGCACATTTGCTTAAATTCACATAACTTTTATGTTTTAACACATAATTATATCATGTTTGTTCTAATTTCTCAGCTTAAGATATGAATTGAAATATAATGCAGTCAGTTCACATATTGAGGCATCTTCAAATAATAACTGTTTCTTAAATATATATTAACAACAGGTTTTGAATAGCGGCATATACCTAATGTTACAAAGAAAGGTGGTAGCCCTCATCTATACGACCCCAATCGACTTTTACTTAATAAAAAAAAGGTTCCCTTCATCTCAGTGGAATAAGATTTTGTGACTTTTTATACATTATATATCTATAAACACACACAAAAAACCTGGGCTTGATTCGGTTGTTCTGAAGGTATGTAAAAAAAAAATATATATATATATATATATATATATTTACACTTCTGGTCTTAGGGGTTGATATGACCCCACATTGAAATGAATGGGAAATTTGAGAAAAAAATAAAATAAATAAATCTGAGACTTTTTACACAGAAATGAAGGCTTATTACTAGAGCATAAATGCAATGTATCATAAAAAATATATTTCATATGCTAATGCTAAAACTAATGATATAGTTGAGGAATTGGATATGTGGTATATGGATACAAAAGTACTTTATATCTCCAAAAACACAGCATTAATGAATAGATGAGAATTAAAAATGAAAAAAAAAAATGATATATTATTTGTATGATTAACAATGTATATTTTTTGGACTTACTCAATCAATTGTTGGGGTCGTATAGACCCCGAAGTCTAGAAGTGTAAACAGGAAACGAAGACCTTTTGAAGGTTAAGCAGCATTTTGGTATGTTTTTTTTATCTTTTGTTATATTTGCTGCTTGTTGATTTACAGTGTTGTCTTTTCATGTTCTTTGAAAGGTTAAGGGAATTTTTTTAATGAAAAACCTTCACCTTTATGCTTTAAAGTCTGTTTAGTTTTGTTTGTTCACTTATCACGGTGTAAAAAAAGGTTAAGCTTTCCTGTTGTTTAACAAAAACTTTGAGTAAGTTAAACAATAAAATTGCATGTCATCCTTCAGCTCTTTTTTTTTTTTTTTTATTCAACATAACATGTAGGTTTCAGTCCTGTACCAAATAGACAAAAACATGAGTCAAAAAAAAAAGTCAAGTGAACAATATATTCCTGTTTTTATTCCATCGCCTCCCAAGTTGTTACATAGCAACCGAGCTAAACAGCTGTCACTAGTATTCATGGTGGAACTGTGTTGATGGCGAAACCGCACCGCTGTTTGGAACCAATTAATTCAATGTGATGTCAGGGGATTGGGGTGGAAATGTGAACTCAGAAAATATTCTGAGATGTTGTACATTGTGTGAAGAGAGGAATCTAAGCTTTAGATCAACTTCAGAGAGTGAATTTAATTATGCATATATCATATTTTCTTAGAGATGATGGCAGAGTTATATTTCCTATAGCATCAGATTATCTTTGTAATCCTTTGTGAGAGGCACCTGCCATTTTACTCTGAATTACAGTATTCTAACTCTTCCATTGGCACATTGCTCATCTGTGGTTTGCTATTGTTGAGCTACTTCCACATGCCATGGTCCATCAGCATGCATTTCTTCTGCTGACTTTACCCATAAACAGGATTATGGGATTATTGCCTTTATATGAGAGAATGAAGACATTCAGTATCTCTACAGGGGAGAACATGTTTAAGAAAATCTCGAAAATGTTGCTCAGAGGGGGAGTCTATACAACATGTCTTGATTTGTTATTAATGTTCATTTGATATTAATTTGGTGATGTAAGTTGACAAAAGAGGTCTCTACCGAAGGATTCTCTGGAAACCACAGCACACTGAAGTTCACGTTTTTCAAGCAGAGCAAACAGGCAGAAAAAATACACTGCTCAGGAGAGTGCTTGCAATTCAGAGCAGTTTTTGTTTCCTCTAGGTAGGGGTAGTGATGGGAATTTAAAGAAATTTAATGATTTGCTTCCAATTCCACTTAACATTTCCGGTTCCAAAACGGCAACACATCTTTTTTCGACTCTTGAAGAACGATGACGTAATTAATCCTGAATATATTGAACCGTATAGCCCTCTTTATTTTGCATGTATTGTTTGTTGTTGTTATTATTATATACATTTTCTTTCTTAAAAGTATCTGAATAAGGTTCTTGAAACTGGTTCTTGTTTCTCAGCACTAAGTTGAAGTACAGGCTACTCTGAAACATTCTCTCCCCCCACACAGTCTCTCTTTCCCACACAGTGTTACTCTTCACTTTTTTTATTGAATGTCTGGTCACAGATCCAATCTCCCACTTTAATTCCTTCATCATGTCTTTCATCTGTGGGTGAAAGATTCTTAACTGGGTTTAATGTCCCCCTGACCCTTCATCTTACCCAGGGCTAAAGTAGGATCTACAGACACTTCTTAATAGAGCTGTAAAATATTGAAAACTTCCATTAGGGAAACTAAACTCTTTTTTTTTTTTTTTCCACAGATTTTTTTTTTTTCTTGTTACATATACAGTGGTGTGAATAAGTTTGGACACCCATGCTAAAGTTGCCTAAAAAGAGGAATAAAAAATCATCTTTTGGATATTGATCTTAATGCCTTAATTAGAAAAACGAGGAAAACTCCAACCTTTAAGGACACAAATTTTCTTTGTGAATGAATAATGTATCATAAATAAATAAATGTTTTTCCTTAAAATACAGGGTGCATAAGTCAGGACACCCCTATGTTAAATTCCCATAGAGTCAGGCACATTTTTATTTTTAAAAGCCAGTTATTTCATGGATCCAGGATAATATGCATCCTGATAAAGTTCCCTTGGCCTTTGGAATTAAAATATCCCCACATCATCACACACCTTCCACCACACCTAGAGATTGGCATGGTTTTACTTCAGTTAGCCTAATAGCTGGTTTGATTTGCATTGAAAGATGATCTTATGGAAAGTACCCCATGCCAATCTCTAGGTGTGGTGGAAGGTGTGTGATGATGTGGGTCTATTTTAATTCCAAAGGCCAAGGGAACTTTATCAGGATGCATATTATCCTGGATCCATGAAATAAAAATGTGCCTGACTCTATGGGAATTTAACATAGGGGTGCCCTGACTTTTTAGGGGTGCACCCTGTATTTTAAGGAAAAAACAATTATTTATTTATGATACATTATTCATTCACAAAGAAAATTTGTGTCCTTAAAGGTTGGAGTTTTCCTCATTTTTCTAATTAAGGCATTAAGATCAATATCCAAAAGATGATTTTTTATTCCTCTTTTTAGGCAACTTTAGCATGGGTGTCCAAACTTATTCACACCACTGTAAAACCCGGCAGTGAGATTACATGGGATTATCACAGCGTGTGTGATTCTCTTTGTTATTTGTGTCATTATCCATTAGCATACAGCAGTGTAGAATATATATATATATATATATATATATATATATATATATATTTTACTCTTGCGCTGACTCAAACAAATGAATAAAAGTAAAACACAAAAGATTTGGGTCAGTATAAGGAAAACAACATCTCATTAGTGTGGGAACACTGTACCTCATTAAAGTGCATAGTTTTTCACCATACTGCAGTGTGGAGTCCAGACTTTCATGTGTATTGTGGTGGAATTAGACATTTTGAGCATGCAGTCTGCTGGCAGATGGTTGATAAATGAGAGCATCAGGCTTGCATTGCTTTCACTGCACACGACCGTGAACGAACTTGTCGTGCTTTTCCTCTGCTGCAGAACGCTGCTGAGATTATACTCGTCCATCAGCGTTGCTTCGAGAGTGATTCTCAAACCCTGAATCTCATCCTAATAGAGTTCAGGAGAAAAACCATATAACAAGTGGGAAATGCTCTTCTTTCTGCTCTTCATTGTTTAAAGGTGATGTAAGGAAATGATTGAGGCATGCATCATTGTTGCAAAAATAATTATTGTTTACAAACAAGGCATACGTGTATTTGTTTCTGCACATGAACTGGAAGTGAAGAAAGATTGTTTTTCTCTTATTGGATGGATGGATGAATGGCAGGAAGACTGAAGGTTAAAATTGATGGATGGCAGTAAGAAAGATGGATAAAAAGAAAGGAATGGTGGTAGGAAGAAAGAAAGGTTAAAATAGAAATAAGGAATGGCAAGAAGAAGAAGAAGACAGGCTCAAATGAAATGCAAAATAAAAGGAAGGAAGCAATGATTTGCTGAAAGAAAGAAGGCAAAATGGAAAGAAGGATGGCAGGTAGAAAGAAGGGTAAAATGACAAAGTAGGAAGGAAAGACTGCAAACTGGAAACAAGGCAGCAACGAATGTAAAAGGGTAAGGAAGGGAAGACCAAAACAAAACCAAGGAAGGGAAATAAAGCAGAAAGTAAAAAAAAGCTAAAGGCAAGAGAGAGAAAAAGTTCAGAAAGGACTTTAACATCATCATATTGCGCATATACCCTCTTTAAAGGATGAGATGGATTCTCTCTGTAGCCTGAACTCTTTCTATTTCCCCCTGTACATCCCCATCTTCACCTGTCAAACGGTACTTTTAAGGAATTACTGGCTCAGAATTATCACATGTTCAGTACAAAGAAAGTCCTTTAAAATGCTGTCAAGCTTTTGTCTAAAAACTGAGAGCTCAGGATTTTCATCCTTGAGCTGTGTCTGCAAAGTAAAGTAACTTTGTCTCTTCCCTATCTCTGTTCCTATTGTCCCCGCTTTACAGGGTTCCTTGCTTCACAACAGCACAGCGGACTGCTCTTCTGACAAGCAGCAGAACGATGGCAAGCTCCTTAAAGGTAACGCCTCCCATCACCTGACCTCAGAACATCCTTGTCATCCACATTGACATTTCAGAATGTCCCCATGTAGTTAAAAATTACAACACTGTCCCATGTCTCCATCTTTTAATTACTCAGGCTAGGGCTGCACGATTCATCGCAATGAAACCACGTGCGATTTGTATTATGTGCAGTTCATCAGTGGAGCACAGTAAATGCTACTCCATCTTGAAAGCCAGATGGCGCTCTCACGCAGACACGCCAAATATGCCTTGTACGATAATACGCATCATTCCGGGAATTCCCTATCGGGCATCATCGCTGTAGCTGAATACGCTGATTTCACGCAGCTGCAATTTTGAAATCGAAAGCGAGGCTCCGATGCGAAGAATCCCGGAAGTACAGATAGACAACAATGTGTTGGACTACCAACCTAAAGCTGCTGCCGCAATTTAAACTATTAGATGTTAATGTCCAATATAGGATATGTATATAGTTTGTTCCTGCTTCTTTTTTTAAAGAAAAACTATGAAAAGACTATGAAAGAAGTCTTAAACTATGAAAGAAATGTATGTACATTTTTAGAATAACAGATTTCTACATTAAACACAACAATACGCCATCGCATTCGCGACTCTCCTATGATTAAAATCGACACTACTGGTTTTCTTCCCACCGGAGCCATTTCAAAATGACGGCCACGTGAAATCAGCGTATAAACAGCGCTTTGATTAAACATGACTAATAAACACACGGCTGCCTTATACACTCTAAAAAATGCTGGGTTGTTTTAACCCAATTTTGGGTCAAATATGGACAAACCCGAAATGTTGGGTTAAAAATGTAATGTAAAAATTTAACCCAACGGCTGGGTTAGTCCATATTTGACCCAAAGTTGGGTTAAAACAACCCAGCATTTTTTAGAGTGTACTGTTTAAAAAGCCACATCGTCGCACATTATAAGTTACTCAAACTCGGGTTGTTTTCAGGTGGAGCGGTGTTTACAGTATGGGATGAGAATTGTTGCATTATTCCAAATTACTAGATTATGATCCACAAATAAATGTAAAGAGATTCACGAAAATATATCAAATTCACAAATAAATAGAATAAGATCCATATTACAGAGCCGTACATCAGTGACAAGCTGAGCATAAAAATCAATCGCTGGCTTTATGATTTCAAAACGAACGATTACATGTAAATTGCGATTATTCGTGCAGCTGTTACGAATAGCGTTAAAAAAACTGACCCCTCTGTCTCCATTGATCTTAATTTATATGAGCTATTGGACCTAATGATTATGTGTTTGACCGTAATGAGAGTAATTGTGCAGTAGATTTGTGCTAAGTGAGGAAAAATGAGGTTAATGCCATTTACTGAATAAAACGTGTCTATTATCACCCACTGCCCAGCGTCTTTTGCACCTATCTGCTTTGCCATAAAGTCGAAAGAAAACGACCTTTTGCCTCTGGAGAAGAATCGTGTGCGGCTGGACGATGACTCGGATGAGGATGGGTTGAAGGGAGAATTGCAAGAGGGAGTAGAGTTGGCCATGGGATTGTTTGAGGCAGTCAGAGAGCCATCTCAGCCTCCATTGGCTGAGGAGAAGAAACCGGGACTGTCCTTGGAAGAGCAAGAGGCCAAACAAGGTAGGTACATCAAGATTTTTACTTAAAATTTTAGTTCACCCAAAAATGAACATTCTGTCAGCATTTGCACACACACATGTTGATCCAAACTCAGTGGAACTCTGAAAGGTGAATACTCTAAAAAAAAATGCTGAGTTGGTTTAACCCAAATTTGGGTCAAATATGGACAAACACAAATGTTGGGTTAAAATATCATTTAAACATTTAACCCAATGGCTGAGTTTGTCCATATTTGACCCAAAGATGGGTTAAAACAACTCAGCATTTTTTAGAGTGAAGGAAGGTCAGGAAATGGGAATGAAGGAAGGTCAGGAACAGGGTAGGAAGATGGAACATAAAACAGGATGAGGGAAGGAATGTTGAAAGGAAGATAGAATGTAAAACGGGAAGATGTAAGGAGTGTTGGAAGGAAGATGAAACATAAACGGGAAGAGGGAAGAAACGTTGGAAGGAAGATAAAATGTGAAATGGGAAGAATTGTTGGAAATAAGATAGAACGTAAAACAGGAAAAAGGAAGGGAGATGGAATGTAAAACGGGAAGAGGGAAGGAATGTTGGAAGGAAGATAAAACAAACGGGAAGAGGTAAGGAATGTTGGAAGGAAGATAAAACATAAACGGGAAGAGGGAAGGAACGTTGGAAGGAAGATAAAACGTGAAATGGGAAGAAATGTTGGAAATAAGATAGAACGTAAAACAGGAAGAAGGAAGGGAGATGGAATGTAAAACGGGAAGAGGGAAGGAATGTTGGAAGGAAGATAAAACATAAACGGGAAGAGGTAAGGAATGTTGGAAGGAAGATAGAACGTAAAACAGGAAGAGGGAAGGGAGATGGAATGTAAAATGGGAAGAGGGAAGGAATGTTGGAAGGAAGATAGGAATAAAAGGACAAGGTAAGACAGGAGGAATGAAACAGATGGATTTAACAGGATGAAACAGGATGGGAAAGGGGTCGTTAGGATCAAGAAACTGGAATATTTAAGGAAGGTAGGAAGAAAGAATGAATGAAGAACAGGAAGGATTAGAAAAAAAGAAATAACTAAGAATGAAGAAGGAAGAGGTAGGAAGAAATTAAGGACAGGAAGAGGGAAGGAAGGCAGGCAGGAAGGAACAAGTTACTAAAGAAAAAGAAGGGAGGATACTATTTTACTATTATATATATATATATATATATATTTTATATTAATATTATATTTCAGTGGTGTTCTTTTTGCCATTTTTGAGCTTGAAAGTCTTCTTTCCCTTTTGTTAAATGGAAAAGAGTGGCCAGAGTATATCTCAAAATGAGTAAGTCAAAGGATTCTGGAAGAAAATTAAATTAATTGTTAATTTTTTAACTGTCTTTTTAATGACACTGGACTCTGTTCTCGACCATTGTCCATTTTTTTAAATGCCGGTACTATTAGCATATTTTATCTTTGAATGACTGTCTGGAGAGTTCAGAAGTTAAGTTTCATAAGTAATTTCTAATTGAAATAAGCCCTCGTTTGCTGTTTTCAAGGCTGTTCTCTCATAAAAAGTGTTCAAACAGAAGAGATGAGTCAGTTTGTGGAGAATTACAGAAATAACTCATGCTGATTTCCTTCACTGTAATTGTTGCAGCCCAAATGTAATTTCTCAATGGCCAGAAGCTTAGAAGCCAAACATCTTTTACTGTAACAAGATAAAAAATATTGCAAAACAAACAGTAGTTTATCATGATCGCATTCAGCCAAGAGTTACCGGATTTTGCTACACTTCTATGACTGCTCTGTTCTTTTGACCCTCAGAGATTTTACATAGTGAGATTATCTGATCGCGGTCACATCAACATGACTGGCAGCACATTCAATTATTTTGGCGAGGGCCAGGGCCGTAATGTAATAGATCTGTCCATGTGGACCATGCTCACCAGCAGCAGTAACTGTCTCTCGTAATTAAGAGGGAGAGTTTCACACAGTTAAAACGAGCAGGACACCTCTCAATCAAAGATACTGACAGTGACTTCACAAGAAATCAGACATGTAGGTGTGCATGAGAGATTGAAATGTGTTATGGGCTAAAAAGACCTTAAATACTCCTTGTGTTTCAGTCAAGTCTCTTCAAGCTGCATTTATTTGATCAAAATGCAGTGAAAACACTAATACCGTGAAATATTACAGTTTAAAAAAATTGCTTTCTATTTATATATATATATATATATATATATATTATATATATAATTTATTCATGTGATGGCAAAGCTTTATTTTCTGTAGTCCTCAGTGTCACATGATCCTTTTTTAAGGATTCTTCAATGAATGGAAAGTTCGAAAGAACAGCATTTATTTGAAATTGTATAAAACACTAAGACTTTACTGTCACTATTAATCAGTTAAATAGGTCCTTACTTTATAGTTTTAAAATCTTATCAGCTCTTGAATGTTTTTAGTTTTTATGATATAGCCTAGTACATTTAAAGGGATAGTTCACCTAAAAATGAAAGTTCTGCATCATTTTTAATCACTCTCATGCCATTCCAAACCCATTCTTACTTGTAACACAAAAGGACACATTTTGAATAATGAACTGGCCTCTGTTTTCAATATACATAATGAATGTCAATAGAGATGTCTCCAATATGACTTAAAAACACATTTGATTTGGTTTTATGATATAATTTGAGACTCAAATTTAAGTTCGAATTCATAGACAATCTTGCCATTTGCCATCCATATCCATTCAAACAAGTTTGAGTTCTACAGCCCCAGCACTAATTTACTTTGGTAAAGAGTCAAGCCAGTATATTGTTCAGTATTTTATGTTTTATGGAAGACAGCAAGTTAAATGAGTTTGGAACGACATGAAGGTGAGTAAATGATGACAGATGTTCATTATTTGTGTGTGAACTCCTTTACCAGGAGATACACATTTCATTATAGCATGTGGGCTTTGCATTGGTTTTCTTGTTCCTCATTAAAAATGAATTTTTTTAAAATCTTATCAATGACACCGGACTGCACATGGCAGACTCTCCGTCCAAATGCAGTAATGCTCCTGGAAAGTAGGCGTAATTACAGTAATAAGACCAGATGCCCAGAGGAACCTTGGTGTAGTAAAATAAATGGCCCTGCGGCAAAGAAGGCCTCGCTCAGTGGCAAAACTAGCTTAGATTGCATGGCTATCGACCTGTCCAGAGGAACATAATCTGTATTGATGAGCTGTTAAAGAATAATCACAGATGCACTATTCAGCACGCACCCAGTCTGTTTTCACGTGTCTGTCTATTACCTTTAGTTTACTTACTGAATGGAGTGAGTTTGTTTGAGCATGAGTTAGAGTTTTATTGGGTCAACTCTGCTGCTTCTTGTGGTTGTGTGTTGTGAAATCTGAGAGGCGAAGTATTTACACCCCTTGTGTTTCCCTCAGAGCTTACCTGTTTATGTTACAAATTTTAGTTTCAAAAGGTAGCTTTATTGGATTTTGTCAATGTTATTCAAAGCCTCAATTGCTCATTGACTTTTGAAGTGTGTAGATGAGAAATTATGCGAGAGAAGGGGACATTTGCAGGAAAAAGCAGACAATTACTTGAGTCTTTGCTTTGAGAAATGCCAAAAGAAAATTACAAGTGTTAAGTGCTGGGGGTTGCATTGAAAATGCAAGTTATTGCAGTCCTTTATCTAGGGATGAGCACAAGCACTCAGAAAAAATAAAATACAATGATTAGTAATATAAAAACAAATAAACTACGTGGGATGATTTGTTTGCAACTTCAATGCAACTCTTGTTATAAGAACTACTGTTATAAAAACTATACATAAAAATGATGAGCCATTTTGGCACATATAGTAATTCTGTACATTTTGGGGATCAATTTAGATGATACCTTGTGGAATAGATCACCTCTGAAGGAAAACAGTCATTATTTACTCGTCTGTATTCATTTCTTTCTCAAGTGGAACACAAAAAGGGATTCATTTTTATTAACATTCTATCTTGCTATCTTTTTCTTTCTATCTTTTTTTTATCCAACAACGTGTGTGTAACAAGGTTATTATAGTTTTGCATTTTTCATTAGTTTTTATTTTTATTTAATTTGGACTTTTTGTTTTTTTTCAAATTCAGCTTAGTTTTAATTAGTTTTTAAAGTGGGATTTCTAGTTTATTTTATTTTTTATGTTTTTGAAAATGCTTAGTTTTGGTTAAGTTTTTATTAGTTTTAGTGTTCGATTTAGTCTTTTTTTGTAATATGGGTTTATTTGTCTGGGGCAAGATTCAAAAAGGTCTGAAAAAAAGATTGTGTAATAATAACTCTACAAAAACATATTCACCAAACAATAGTAGTTGCATAAATTTTGTTTTAGTTACCGACAATGTTTCACCCCCAGGTTTTCTTTTTTTCGTTTGTTCTCGTTAACGATTATAACCTTGGTGTGTTATTTATTTATATATATATATATATATATATATATATAATTTATATATATATTACACACCAAGGTTATATTTTTAATGAAAACAAACAAAGAAATAAAACTAGGGAAACTATACTATAGAAAACTATATATATATATATATATATATATATATATATATATATATATATATATGTATATGTGTGTGTATATGTGTGAGATCTGTCCTAGATCTCATCATAGAAATGTCAGTGTCCAATTTGTGAACATGTCATTTCAGATCTTTTCATTGAATTTGTGGTTCAGCTAACAGAATCGATATAAATGATTCCTTTATAAACTGGTCTGATCTGGTACTCACTGAATCAGCTAAAGACTTGTATTGTAATATTGTATAACTAATGTGTACAATTGTTTAATTTTCTTTCCAGAACATATCTGAAATGGTTTAAGAGTCTCTATTTGTCGTTTAATTGTGATTTGTCTCTAAGCTCCCTCATTAAGGAGAGGGCACAGTGTCGTCCATTAATAGAAGACTAGGTTAAAGCATAGCAGGACGTCAAGGCTGCAAGATTGTTTCATGGTGGTGCGAATAACTTTTGACCTTCACTGATTAAGGAACATCTCTCACAAATTCCGTTCCTAACTCTGTCTCTCGCTGCAACACAGTATTTTCTCAGAATGACGTAATGAAGGAGATGCCTCTGTTCTCTCTCCAGTTGTGTTTGTTCCGGAGTTGTATGTGATTGTTCGTGGCAGGGGACCTATTTTTAGTGCGAATGCTGACAGGGCTCTCTACTTGTTCTTGTATAATATAATGACTTGTTTTTGTTTTTTTTTGTTATCGCTGTTCCCATGAAAAATTATACAAGAGTACACTGCCTACCTGAAGTAGCTAAATTGAGACGCTGTCGACTATTATACAATCCGTAGCCAAGCAGGCTTTAACACCTAAGCAGAGAGTGAATGTTATTTTTTTTTTCGTGTAAGATGCGGAACATTAAAATGTGACGCATCGTTAGCTTGTAGCTTTTTAAACTCTATGCAGTTTTTATGAGGCTTACAAAAGCAGGTAAGTTGAGTCACCTCATCTAGAAATATTTTGCGTTTGCTTGCTCACTGGCACGCAAGCTCACTCGCACATGCTTTTAGTTTTTAGAGCATATGGTGTGTATCAAGACAAATGTGTGTGTCTGACCTCTCCTCTCTTTTCTCTTCCAGCCAAACAGAAGCTGGAGGACCGGTTAGCAGCAGCAGCGAGAGAGAAACTGGCTCAAGCCTCCAAAGAGTCAAAAGAGCGGCAGCTTCAGGCTGAGCGCAAGAGGAAAGCCGCCCTCTTCCTGCAGACCCTCCGAGGGCCAGAGGCTGAACTCAAGCATACAGAGGAAACCGCTGCTGCATCTGAGGTTTGTTTGTGTGTGTGTGTGTGTGTTTTCCAGCATTGCCCATCTACCTTCACATATACCTAGACAGCCTCTAAATTCCTGCACTACACCTAAAAATGTGGTTACCTACAATAAAAAGAATCTGTACACAGGACAGGTGGCAAAATCACAAGAAAAGCTTGATGTGTACCAACAACTATACATTATTTAAAAGGTTAGTTCACCTAAAAATGAAAGAATTGTCAAACCCATTAGACTTTCATTCATCTTCAAAACAAATGAAGAGATCCTAAAAGAAATCTGAGATATTTGTCTCCATTGACAATCTACACAACTATCACTTTGACGCTTCAAAAAGTTAATAAAGAGATTTTAAAACAAATCCATATGACTCGAGTGGTTTAGTCCAAATATTCTTTAGAGACTCGACTTAAGAGACTTTATATGAGGAACAGATTTAATTTATATGACAAAGCAGATTTAAACAAATATATATATTTTTGGTTGAACTAACCCTTTAAGGGTATTCTATATGTTAGGATATTGACATTGAATCTGTTGTTGTTAAGTGAGTTTCATTTATGTGTTCCCTTTAAAATTGTCCCTCTCAACTGGTAGTATAACAAGTGAATAAGAAAGCTTAATTGATAAATTGCTAGTTTTATATATTGCCTAGACAAAACTTTAGCCAGTATTTTTGCATTTGTTAGAATTATAGTCTTGTCCATGTTAAAGTCATGTCTTTAACATGGGAAAAGTCATGTGCTGTTTTACCATGAAGATGGATTTCTTGCTACCTATTATAGTGCTTACGCTTGAAAAGAGCCGCCCACTCATCGTTTTCACTTTCATTGCATTGCTTGACATGCTTGCCCTGACAAAAATTTCTATGTTCTTGCACTGCGCTTCAGAATCATGCACCGTGACATCACGGTTGAAGATCTGAGTGTTTTTATTTCAGCAGTCAGCATCACATCAGGACTTCTGCTCAATAACACTGCTGTGGTTTCCTCACGGTTTTAGTCAAGTCCCCCTGTACAGAAAAGCAATATAGTTTATTGATCCATCAATCATGTCTTGAAGAAATGCTCATTACTGCACAAAGATTCCTGACAACCAGTTTTTCACTGTTCTCTGGGGGTCAAATGTAACTTTGCGTGTTGACAGAACAAATGAGATTAAATTATAATATATATATATATATATATATATATATATATATATATGTGTGTTGTTAATTCTGTCCCAGTTGTTTTTTTATGGACTTGAGGCAGGAGGAGTTCCTAATTAGTTGTGCAGACAAAGCTGGTGTGTCCCAGGAAAAACGTTTGTTTGTATGCGTTTATCTCCTGTCAGCCCTGATGGCTCCTGAATGTCATTTTCCGTCGAAGTTTTGACTAAACTGATCAAAATGTCCTCATTTTTTGTTCCTCACTTAAATTGTGTAATCTTCTTTTCAAAAATGTAGGCTCGGTGAGATTTTTTTGAAAAGAAATTAATACTTTTATTCAGCGAGGATGCGTTTATGTTAAAAGATTTTTATTACAAATAAATGCTGTTCTTTTGAACTTTGTTCATCAAAGAACCCTGAAAAAACACATTTCAACAAGTATTAATGTATTCCATGTATAATATAACATGTATTCAAAATCAGCATATTAGAATGATTTCTAAAGGATCATCTGACACTAAAGACTGGAGTGATGATGCTGAAAATTCAACTTTGCCATCACAGGAATGAAATTACATTTTAAAATATATTAAAATAGAAAATAGATATTTTAAATTGTAGAAATATTTTATATTACTGTTTTCACTAATTTTACAATCAAATTAATGGAAACCCCTTGTGAGATAAAGAGACTTCTTTCAAAAACAACAACAAAAAAATCTTTCAGTGTCCACACTTTTAAACGGCAGTGTACAGCAGAACACATTTCATTGAATAATATAAAATACTAAATAGGTAAATTTCACACAAAATACAAAATTGGCATATACTCAACTCATATGACTTCCTCTCTTCTGTTAAACGTAAAAGAAGATATTTTAAAGCTTGACACAGCTCCAAAAGCACCATAACAACACCATAAAACATTCTGGGACGAATAATGACTTATTACAAATGCATAAGCCGCATGGCCCAATTTTATGATGCTTTTTTTTGGGATCTTGAGAGCTACCTAGTCTCTATTTGCAGTTTGAGCAGCATAAACCTTTTTTTTTATATATATCTCTTTTAGTGTTCTACTGAAGAAAGAAAGCCATATAGCTTTGTAGAGACATAATTGACAACTACATTTTTGGGTGACCTATTCCTTTAAGGACATAATTAGTTGGACGCTGTGTTGGGACTTGACACTCTGCTTAGAGTGGATTCTCAGCTGGTGTTTTTGAGTTTGTAACCATGATCTTCTTCCAACTCTTGCTATAATGGCCAACGTCCCCTGATCTTCTCCGCAGACCGCAAACACTGTTTCCTCTCCAGAAAGTTCGTACTGTTGTGTCCATGGAGAGAGAACGAGAAGGAACCGTTAGGAAAAGTGAGAGAGTAGGACCGTGGTAAAGACTAATCTCGCCGATTGTCTCCACAGGCATGCGGTTCAGGTCCACATTAATGAGGCCAATGAAGCGTGAAATCAGAAGAAGCAGCTGGTGGATGCAGAACTGCTTCCTCTGGGCTTTTACCTGAGTCTCTCGCTTACATATACACAACACTGCTTGTACGTTCCCAACATCTAATTCATTATAAATGTCCCTTCTTTTTGGACACCCAATTACTTGAGCGAGACGCCTTATTTAGTTTCCAACCTATTACTTTACTTTACCCAAGGCCTGATTTTAGATGCACCTTCGAATAGCTTACAGCAGTTTTCTGTCATTCACCCTCAGGAAAGAAACAGACATTCTGGCTAACTCGGCCACAATGCAAGAAAGTGACGTGCTAAAAACTTTCTCTCGCATCTAACTCTCTAAATATTTTTTTTTTTTTTTTTTTTTTTGTCCTAACCAACTGTCCATAACATCTTTTCCCTGAATCTTTGCCCCTAAATCTGTCAATCTATTTAGTTTATTTATTTATTTTTTTGTGCAGTTTAAACAAGAAAACATCACATGAAATGACATTATTCATTACATGAATAATTTAATGAAGTTTTTTTTTTTTCTGTAATTTTATTGTTTGCTGTTTGAACATTTGGTCCAAAAAATCTAAAGTGTGAACAAATCCTGTCTTGATCGCTTTTTTGTTGTTGTTGTTGTTTTTTTTGGGTAGCCCCACCTACTGTGAAATCTCATTGGTCCAAACTCCCACTCCTCACAACTGAACATTAAACATCAAATATCTTCTGATTGGCTGTGGTTGTCACGCCATGTGCAGTAGTTTAGCATTTAGTGTGACTAGACAAATTGATTGTTGCTGGAAACTTTGCATTGTTCTTGGACCTGACAGGGTGTGATGTTGTTCCTGTCAAAATGCCTGAAGTCCAAGAGCCGTGTTGTGTTTATTATTATTGTTTTGTTATTATCCTAAATGCCTGATTTATGTTTTATGCAGGCTTATTTACCTGCCTGTAGATATGGATGTGTTCTCCCTTTATCTGCTGAGTAGACTCTGTTGAACTGACTTTATGCCTCCAAGGAGTTTAGCTGCGTCTTGAATGCAAATCTGTGCAATCGGTCATCGTTCATGACTGTTGTATCATCCTCGGCATTGCCTCAGTTTTCTTTTTCCTTTTTTTGTTTCCGGTGACTCAGGAGTGGTAATGATTTCAAGTGATTTAAGCTTAATACCAGCTGTGATCTCTGATCGAGCCAGTTGGCAGGATTGATCTTTGCTTCCTTTACCTTTTTAGTAAGAAGTAGTGATGCTCCGAAGTGAAGATTCTTGGCAGAAACGGCCAATCTGTTGGCACTAGGATGAAAATTGAAAATGCTTGTATTAAATTAGCCTTTGTTTTGGAAAATTATTCAAATTATATTATGTTATATTCAATTGGACTGACAATACAATAATATGGAGGCTCCAATAACATTTTTTTTTAATTAAATGTATTAAATTAAATTAATTTTAATTTCAAACATTAAAATGCATTTGATATTTTACAAAGTAAAACATCTAAAAAACCTTTTGCCAATTTTGTTTTATTTTTATATTTCATGGCACTGTTGATGAAACATCACAACATGAACGTGTTTTTATAATGTAATTATAATGTTTCCTTGAGACTGATTTGTTTAGTAGTTGCTCAGACATTCCATTGACTAATTAATTTTGAAAAAAAAGTATGTTATGCAAAATAGAAACAAGTTTTGTTCAACCCGGCTAATTCATTTCTGGATCTTTCCGCACGTCTCTCAAACTCCTTTTCCACCAAGGCAGAGCTGGTGCTGGTTCCTAGTTTCGCCAGAGCCTAGTTTCAAATTGGTTCTTTGTTTTTCGACCACAAAAACACCAGCTCCTAACCAGTAAAAGTGGTTCTTAAGTATCACCAAATCATTGCTGGTCTGGAAGTAAGAACCACTTCCGTCAGCGACTGGGGGCGGGGTTACCGTGACCAACAAGACGAATAGAAACTTGTGACTGCCATTTTTTAAATAGCAGCTAATCATGCTAATAGCAGCTCGATTGTAATCTCCCTTAATGCAAGTTGCTGCACGAACGTGCTGGATTCGCCGTGTTTGGATACCGATGTTGGTTTGCAAAGCCATGAGCATAAATAGTAAGGCAACGACCGGCATTGTTGATGAAAGGCTTGTTCGAGATGCATCGGAGCAGCAATGATTCGCAGTACCGAACCATCTCGAATAGCCTGGTGTGTTTGTGTGCACCGTGCTAGCGTTGCTGGGCAACATGAGATGTATACAGTGACGTAAGATCTGGCTCTGTGATGGCTCTCTAGCCTGTGGAAAGGCAAACCGGTTCTTTGAAAGCTCGTCAGTTGAACCAACTCTGAACCGGCACTAGCTCTGAACCGTCACCTGGTTCTTGTTGGTGGAAAAGGGGTACCTGATGAGAAAAC